GTTCCTGAGATGATTCTGAAATTCAGGTGGTATGAAATCAAAGTCATATTTTGGCTCCTGTGGATTTGGTTTAATTTTCCTCAGCTTCAGCTTGAACTTGACTACATATAAAAATTCTTATAGCACTATTTCTTGGAGTAAAATGATACAAAATATTCATGTTACACACACTTGTGCTGTATGAATACTTTCAGAATAAACTGAGTTACTTTAGCAACCAGAAAAATGCTATTTACATTTTGAAAGGTATTATAATTGCTTGTAAAGATTTATAAAAATCCATGTACCATATTATAATACACTTTTAGGGGTAAAAATTAAAATTTTCTGTATTATTTTTACACTTGTATCTTGGTACAAAATTATTACAATAGAAATTTTCAAAGAAAAAAAAAACTAAGCCAAAAAACCCAAAATCATCCCAAAGCTAGGTTCCCTAAATATAATATGGTATCCTGGAATGGATCCAGAAACAGAAAACAGTTTCCCATTAATGGAACAATGAAGTAGAATAAAGTCTAGAATTCCATTACTTAGTCTTGACAAATGCATCAAGTTAAATAAAAATAAATCAAAACTGGCCTCAAGTTGATTTTGAGTCCTGCTGACCCCTCCAGTGGGTATCTGAGACTGTAAATACTAATACTTAATATTTAAAACAGTGCCTCATCTTTCTCCCACATAGCACCTGAATGTATCTGAACCACCAACCATTTGGTTAGCAGCTCAATATGTCGTATATGACATCATCAACGCTCCTTCAAGATAAAGTAAGATGTTAATATTAGAGGAAACTAAGTGAAGAGTATAAGGCAACTCTCTGTTCTACCTTTATAAATTGTCTATAAACCTAAAAATTACTCCGAAATAAACCTTATTTAAAAAAAACCCCAAGCCCCCAAATCCCAAGCACTAGGTCCCAACACACATACATTCATTCTGAATGTTCACGTGTATCTAAAAACCTTCTGATATGCACAGCTAGAGTGGTTGTGATTGTTAAATTACATTTGAGACAGACTACATGCTTCCTGACCCAATACTTCCTTAAAATTGCTGCCGAGCTCACCATTGCAGTCACTGTATCCATCCACCTCAATTAGAATCTTCCTCTTTTGTTGACTCTATTTTATTAGGTTTTTGCATTTTGAAGGCCTCACAATCTAAGGAGAGTCTCACTGCTGTATCATACACTGTTCTGATGCTAATGGCTTTTGATGTTGTTATATGGTATCAAGTCATGTGTGACTCATAGCAACCCTATGTACAATAGCACTAAACCCTGTCCCATCCTGAGCCAATCTGTCTCCCAATGCACCCGTCCCTATTATCCCAGTCACTGTGTCAATCCATCTCATTCAGAATCTTAGTGTGTAGTTATTTCAGACACAGACTACTAATCCTGTTTCCTAGAAGCTTCAGTGGGTGGACTCTGCTGATATTTGAAATACTGAGGACATTAACTTCCCACATCACAGTAACACACAAGCTCACCATAGTACTACAAATGAATAAGTGGAGGAGAGTCAACGTTAAGAACCATTACACTATACAGTCTTTCCTACCAGCAGCCAGGAAATAAAAAGATGAATTGTATTGGGAA